TATATTTTAAGTGGTGTTTGATAATAATTTTCCCCTTGTTACTATATAATGGTCATAGGAAAAATTTTAGAAAGTATGGGAAAAGAAGAAACTAAGTTTGTATTTGTGCCTGTCTATTTCTATCTTTGTGTCAAAGCTTGTATATATGCACGTGATAAGACATATATAAGATCTCAAAGTAGTTCCTGATTTCAGGTTGTTATAAGGCTAAAACATAAAGAAGAAACTATATGAAAAATACAGATCTATTTGACTCTAGCTTTTAAAAAATTACATTAAATAGACAAACTAGGAAACATGTCTTACCAGTCTAGTTTCCTCATTCTTTGGTTAGCAGTTAGAAGATGCAATAATGCCTGCTAGTGTTTTCTTATTAATCATTTTACTGATTTTTCTTAATGCAGATTAGAAGCATTTACTGTAAATAAAAACCTCATCCATATTAGCTTTTACTTTGAACTAGATCCGCCTTAAAACCTGGATCCAAAGTGACCCAATAAAATAACTTGGTATTTTACTGATGTCAAGTTCATATAAGAAGAAAATGGACAGCAAGGAGGAGGGCCACAGCGAATGCTGCTGTCTCTCAGACTGAATGGCCCACCTTTGTCTCTCAGAGCCTTAGAAGCTCCTGTGCAGAGGTGGAGGGTGCTGACTTGCAGCAGTTCCTTTAAAGGCTGGCTGAGCGGTGGTATTGGTTGTGGAGAGTTGAGTCCTCTTACTGGGGGAATTGCTTAGTTCTGTGGTCCCCACTGCTTGAGGGTCTCAAGGAGCAAATGTGGCAGTGTGTGAAAGCACTGCAGACGCAAAGAATGGCATTACACGTGCAAACTGTTATTGTACTTGTGAATTTTACCCTTGTAGCTTCTTGTGTTCATCACTGCTTATTCCGTGCGTTTTCCAGCCTGTAATTAAAGTCTTTCAAGTTTTAGCATTGTTAAGCAGTTATACTGAACTACTTAACAGTCATTACTGTGCTACTAAGTTTAGACAGAGTCACCGTAATTATTACACATCTTGGGCCAGCCAGGTAGCTCAGCAGACTAAAGCTCCTGCTTAGACAAGCGCACAGACCAGGGTTTGATCCCTGGCGTGCCATACCATGCCCGCCCCCCATGGTGGTGCGTGCCTGTTATCCCAGCAGAAAAAAAATTATTATTGCACCTCTTTATCAAGTTAGAGACTTTTGTCTGCTCTTGTGGTTACAGAGTTTTAAGATTACTGTGTAACCTTAAGTAAGGGGAAACAAAATTCTGAGTGTCCTAAAACACATGGGAGGTTTTCTTCTAACCATTAGATTGTTTTCAGAATTCTAGGTAAGTAACATTTACTGCTAGTAAAGAAATGTCAAATACAGCAGTAAATTTTTCTTTTACTTTTCCACCCGATTATTATGTTTTCATGTTTGAGTAAATTAAATGCATAAGCTAGGTAAAAACCTAGAGATAGAAAGTAATTGATGCAATATGCAGTGTATTAATTATTGAAACTTCTATTAATTGGTTTTGAAACTGTCTCACTGCTATTTGTTTCTCAATAAAATTAATTTTTAAAAAAGTAGTTGATGACCAGCAAAAGCATTATTAAAACGCATTAGAAAATGTTTTAAATTGGGGTCTCTTGATATCATTGCCAAGCTGGTTTAAAGAATATGCAGAAAACAATGTTTTGGTGTTATCAGAGTATTTTTGGTTGCCTTCTCAGGATGAAAGAAAATGTGAGTTGAAAAGCTTATTCCCATGGATTGCTCGGCTTTTAACAAAAGTGGTTGCCTTTACTTTTATTTTAAGTATAAAGAGATGATTTATTAAAATTTTGGGTCAGGAATTTCAATTTAGCAGCCTAAGTACAGAAGTCACTTGTTAGACTGTAGTGTTAGTCTAAGTGGTATGGAACTTACTGGTGTTTTTCTGTAATTTTTGTCAGCTCAGTGGTTTCTAGACCTTTGTTTGGATTTTGTGTGCCTGTTTAAAAACTAACTAGAGAGCCCCCTCTAGCGTCTAAAGTAGAAGACGAATGAAGACATTTTGTCAGTCTTAGAACATTGTAAGAATTAAATTGTTTTACTTTTACATTTGGATTTTTTTTTTTCTTTTCTGGGAGAGGGGTTATTTTACTTTTTTAAAAATACTACTGAAATAGTGAGTAGAGCATGGATTGAGTACAGCAGAAAGTATGGAAAAGAAAGAATCAAAACATCATTTCTGCCCTTTTAGAAATCATCATTTTAAAATAACTTGGATTAAGCCAAAACTATACAGTGTTCTGGTTTTCGTTGTTGTTTTAATTTGCATCTGTTTCTAAATTATGTGAAATTTAAAAACACTTTATTTTGGAATTACTTATGCTATCAGATCTCATCATTAAAGAATTCCTTTTAGTAGCTGAAAGCAGCAATTTTATTGGAAAATAGGTAGCATTAGCTATTTCTTCATGAGAGTGTTCTGGGTTGTTTGTTACTCTATTTGCCATGCCATATCCTTCTGTGGATAAACTTTATAACTGTATGCTATATTCTAATGGCTTCCATTGTTTCTCAACCAAAAAAAGAAGAGATTCTTTCTTAAATTACTGGCTCTCTGCCACCTCTTTCCTCCAAACACATACCATTTAAACACAAAAGCCTATAGCGAAGATTCTTGTGAAGGGTTACAGAAACAGGACCTTTCTCATTTGACCCATTGGTCTTTGTAGCTGGAACAAGGAGAGTAGTGTTCCAAAAACTACAGCATTTATGAAGGTTTTGGTAAAATATTTCATATACGTGGACTGGTGATTAACTCTTTTCATCTTGTTCTCTGACAAATTAAACAATGAAGAGGGACTTCAAGTGCATTCTTGATAATGAAATGCTTGGGTGAGTTATAATCCTAATTGCTATTGTTCATTTTCACAGCTGCATTTTGACACTTTTAACTGCCTAAGCCACGTATTATTCAGCCACTAGGATAAACAAAGGCATTCTGAAATCCATCATTTATGGCATCTTAAATTGCAAATAGAGTATTGGCTGCCTTGGTTTTATTTTAGGTCCATCCTTGATAAAATTAGAGGGAAATTACTTGTCTACATTTATACATAAAATTATTGTCAATAGAATCATTACTGTATTCATTTATTAATAGTCTTAAACTTCAGGGAGGCAGTAGAGATTCTGGATTTATTTTAGTTCCAAAGAAATAATTTATTATTTTATTAAACTAGTTGGTATTTTAGGAAGGAACTTTCTCCAAGTTTTGTTTTTTTTTAAAAGGGATTTCAGTCTTCCTTAGGATAGTATTTAACATATAAATCTTGAAGCAGATTTCCTTAGTGATTTAACAGGTCACATGTATACATAATTGTTCTAAATTTGACCCAAACCTATCCATTAGTCACTTCCCTGAAGTTTAAAGAACTTAAACGGATTGCAGTAAATTTTTGAGTGCTAGTTTCCACCAAGTTGTCCTGGATTAAAATGGAAATTTTTGATGCTGAAAAAACCAGACAGTAAAAAAGATATATAAAAGTTACAGCTACTGAATTCTGGGTTGTTCGTGGTTTTTTGTTTTTTCACTATTTCTAAGGTTTAATTTTAAGTGGAAGATTTGAATTACCATATTCACAGGCACCTGTTGTACCAATTATTCAGTAATAATTGGCACTTTAGACATCAGATGAGAACTTGTACTATGTTACGTATTTCTTTTCCTCAGAATATCTTTTAATTCTTAAATTCATAAAGCATGACCGATTAAAGTATTCTTTTCAAAGCTGATTTTTCTTATTAAATATTTAGTTTTAGGATTATCCTAGTAGATGGATTTTATTATATTTAGTAATAATAGCTAACATTTATTGCAGTTTCTGTTTGTTAGACACTGTTAAATAACATTTATAATATGCTGTCTTTGGGGTATAATTTTTATTTATTACCATTTTACAGTCGGGGACATTGAGACTAAGATAATTAAAGTGATTTTGCCAAAAGTCACAAAGGATGTGATTGGAATCAGGTTTTTTTGGACTCCTAAAGCCCATGTTCATGGTCATAACTGAAGTCTTACCTGGAAGGTTTTTTTGTTTTTGAGATGGATTCACTGTGTAGTACAGGCTGGCCTTCAACTTGCTATGAGCATAGGCCAGCCTCAAACTATTGGTGATCCTCCTGCCTCAGCCCCCCAAGTGCTCCGTTTACAGGCATGCACCACTATGCCCAGTTGCTTAAGTGAAAATTAAATATCACACAATCTCCTGATGAAGTACTATGTAGTTTTAAAAAAAGGATTACAGTGACTATATAATGAGGTAGATAATGTATCTAATAAGTGAAAAAGAGTCCCAGTGCATGCCTGTACTCCTATTATTTTGGGAGGCTGAGGCATGAGGATCACAAGTTTGAGCCCAGTTTGGGCAACTTAGTGAGATTCTGTTTCAAAATTAAAAAATGAGGTAGAGGTGTAGCTCTGTGTGAACCTCCTGTGTTCAAGCCCCAGGATGGAAAGAAAAAAATAAATACAGAACATAAATAAATGTTCATGATGGTTCTAAACATTTGTAGAGTACTTTTGTTTATCATCCTTTGAAAAGAATTATATAATGTTCAGCTGTTGTTTTATTTTGCTTAATCTACAAAATTTCTTTAAGCAGGAAACATAAGCCTGCATATAAACCAAGTAAGGTCAGGAAACTGACAACTTAGTTTCATAGTAGATTGTGCCTGTTCAGTTTCCTTTTTAATTTGACCCAAAGTCATTTTATTAATGGACTTAAGCCAACACTAATATGATCTCTCATCTGTATTCTTAAGGGCTAATGGAATAGTAAAGTCTTCTTTCAACTAACTTAACTGTGCTATGTAGTGTCCTTGGGGTAGCTTGTGCACAAAAGATGACTTCTTTCCACCCTACAGTGGTAGCTCATTAGGACACCAGTTGTGTCATTATTAAGTTTTCATGTGTCTCTCAGTTTTGATGCTAATCTTTATGTGTATGTTCATGCATGTTTTTTTTTTTCTGCAGCACCAATGTGGTTATGAATTATTCAGAGATTGAGTCTAAGGTTCGAGAAGCAACGAATGATGATCCTTGGGGACCTTCTGGGCAACTCATGGGAGAGATTGCCAAGTAAGTGATAATTTGACTCAGCAGTGCAGAAAGAATCAGAGTATCTTGACACAGAAATACCAAGTTTGTTTTCAGTTTTAAACTGTTCAGCTGCCAAGTATAGATTTTCCATAATCAATCACATAGTGATACAGAAAGTTTAATGTAAAGTTCATTTTCCTTAAAAAATAGCTCAAAAGTAACACAGTTTTTCTTTTTCAGTGACGTTTGCAGACTTACTGTAGACTAACTTCCATGTAAATTTTGAAGAATCCTAATGAACATGTGGGCCACTGTGCTAGGATAATAGAGCATGTGAAGTATGATACTAACAGGGCTTACAAATGTCTAGGTGTTTTATTAAATATAGGAAAATTATTTTGGAGGAAGTGTGTCTTATAAAAAATTTTTTAAATTAAGTTTATTAATTCTTTTCTAAACTCTGGAGAAACGATTACTTAAAGCAAGCCTGCCATCTACTGTCAGAGTTAACCAATTACAGCATCTTAAGGTAAATTATTCTTTTTTCAGGGCTACATTTATGTATGAACAATTCCCAGAACTTATGAACATGCTGTGGTCCCGAATGTTAAAAGATAATAAAAAGAATTGGAGAAGAGTTTATAAGGTATGAATATAAACCTGTTTTGTAACATTAAAAATAAGTGCTTGAAATGTAAGCCATCCATATAGAAATTATTTTGACAGATATTAAACACTGACAAGATAGTCCAAAAGGCAAAAATAAATGTTTATTATTTGTGTTATCTTTTCTGGTCATCATAAACAACTGTTCTCAGTGTAAAATGTTTGAAATTACAGTGTATCAGCCCCGATCCCGCAGTGCAAAGGATTGAACCCAGGGTCCTTCACACTGAGCTACATCCCCAGCCATGACAGGATCTCGCTGTTCCCTAGACAGAGCTTGAACTTGCTGCCCTCTGGCCTCGCTACTGCACCTGGCTTCATACTTTTAAATGTTGAATGTTTTTATCTATTAATTTTTTTCTGCTTAAAATATTTATATATATCAAAGTGATGAATGTCTTGATCAGATACATGTTTGGTGTATTAGCAGTTAGGACTGAAAGAAGACTAACCTGGTTCGTGATTTACGTAAAACCTTGCCTAAATTACTATGACAGTTTTTTGTTTTGGGGACAGAGTCTACATGGTCTCACTATGTAGATTGGACTGGTAGTGACCCTCCCATTTACAGCCTCCCAAGAACTGGGATTATAGGGGCACACCACTATGCCCAGTCTCAATTGCCATCTCAGCGTGCCCTGGGGGCGGGGCCAGTGTGCAGCCCCGGGATCCAATGCCCAGCCCCTGTGCCTACTTGCAGGCACTTTGATCCACTGAGGTACTTGGCCGGCCCTTTTATAACAGTTTTTTAGCACCAAAAATATAATTAGAGATTCTAAAATTTACAGACTTGTAACATTTTTTATTTGTGAACATGTTCCTTTTGCCAGATTTTTTCTTTTCTGACGGATGCATGGATGGATGGATGCATGATGGATGCATGGATAGATGGATACATAGATGCAGATAGAATAAGGCAATCATCTGGTCTTTCTCCACCATATTTTCTTGCTACTCAAAATATACTTTCCAAAATAACAGAAAACCGATAGTTGAACTTGAACATTTTGGCTTTTGGAAGTGAAATCTGCACTTTAGTGCTCTTTATTTTGTTTGCTTCTGAAAACACTTGCTGTCATTTCCTCTGCTTATATAGTAGGTATGATGAAATAATGAAATTCCTATAAATTAAAATGCTTTTTAAAATGTAACTCATGGATTTTGTTGCTGTTATTTTTAATACTTGACTAAACTACTTTTAAAAATACAATTAATTTCTGGTAGGATGAAATTTTGTGCCCCTCACTTTCATCAGTCTAAATTAGGTTTATTCCAAGTAGGGGTAAGTTTAAAATGTATGGTTCAGTGTAATTTTTAGTATATCACAGAGCTGTCCAACAGTCACTATTACCGAATTCCAGAACCATTTGATCGCTCTATAAAATCCTCCATAGTCATTAGCAATCATTCTTAGTTTACATTTTAGCAAAATTTCCTGAAACATTCTTTTAGTGTTGGCTTTTTTTAAACAAAAGCCATTATCAATCTTAAAGTGTAATTTTATATGAGAAGAATACCATGGAATTATGTAATTACCAAATAATTCTGCTGAAATTTCTAATGAAAACTGAGCCAGCTTTGTAAAACCTTTCATTTCATTTATATTATATAGACAGATATTGTTGAAAATTTGAATTACTGACTTTTAAAAAATTTTTGGATATATAGTATCCATTGGATAATTTGTTTACTATGTTGGGATTAGAATACATTCAAATTGACAGTGTAAATTCAAGACTATGTAAAGTCTGACACAGTATATGAACCCTCCCCATAACTACCTTGAAGATTGTTTATTTGGTAATGTTGGAATTTTTTTGACCATGTACCAAAGCTTTACCAGAATTCGTTTCACTAAATGATTTGGTGCTTTATATTTTTACAGTCTTTGCTGCTCCTAGCTTACCTCATAAGAAATGGATCAGAGCGTGTTGTTACAAGTGCCAGAGAACACATTTATGATTTGCGATCCCTGGAAAATTACCACTTTGTAGGTGAGCAATAGAAAAACCTTATAAGCAAATTAAAACAGTAGTTGGAGTTGTCAGTCACCTGAACCAGCTTAGAAGCTTCTCTGCTCTAATTAGAATGTGACTGTTGCTGGTTGTGTGACGAGTGCAGAATCTACGACGTGGGGCCCTAGAGTATTAATTAGTGAAGACAAGAACTTGCAGAAAAGACTGGCTAATAACAACAGAACCAATACAACATGAGTGTTCGGGTTTATATTAAAATATGCACTGGAGACGGGTCCCCTGTGGTGTCCATAAAGGAATAGCTTTAATCATATGGGAAGAAAAGGTTAGAGCTCCAAAACACACACATCTGTTTGAAGCTGGGTTTCCCCCCTCCCACCAAATAGTATTTACTGTGCAAAGGCAGCAAGGCCAGAGTGTGCTCTGCATGTGAAAGAGGCTAGAGAATGCAGCACGTTTCATTTGGTAGTGCACCCTGGTTGAAAGGACTTTAAAAATTTAGCTTTTCCACTAAACATAGCTCTGGTAATTAGTGTTCCCATGCCTGTGTAGGGGAAACCAAGACATTTGGGGTGCTTTTCATTCATGAAAACATTAAAGTTTTTTGTTTTGATTTCCCATATTAAAATATGAATAGAGAGAACATTTATAGATTCATTTATTTCAAATAGTCATCATAAAATAATCTTTTCACTGGATTTTTAATTGACCTTGCATGATAGTGTCATTGGTGTCATTAGTAAGCCAAAGTGGCATTTCAGAATGTAGAATTTGCCAGAGGAATGAAAACCACAATCTAACTGGTTTTGCTTGTGTTTTCTCTCCAAACACTGAAGTTGATTTCTTATTTTGCAGCTTTAGTTCTTTGTTTTGCCTTAAAAAGAGTTTGGTATGTAGGTAGTGAATTCTTAAGGTTTTTTTCCTCTTACCATTCTCAAGATGAACACGGCAAGGATCAAGGTATAAATATTCGCCAAAAGGTGAAGGAATTGGTTGAATTTGCTCAGGATGACGACAGGCTTCGTGAAGAGCGGAAAAAAGCAAAGAAAAACAAAGACAAATATGTTGGAGTTTCCTCTGACAGTGTTGGAGGCTTCAGATACAGTGAGTATCAAAGATAGGCTGGCACCTTGCATTAGCTTAGCTTCTTAGTGTATTTTAGGAATCACTCAGACACCAAAGTGCTTTTTTAATTTTTTGAAGGAATATATAGAGTATGTGTGATACTCATTTTGACATGGGTCATGGGAATCTTCCTGTTTTTATTATGGATGGAAGAATATGATTTTTAACCATTAATGGATAATTAGATATTGCAAACTTTGAATTACAAAAAGAGAATAAAGCATGTATATCCTTCTCTTAGGGTTACCATTCTTTAAAAATGAAGAAGAAAAAGGGAAGTGTTTCTTATATTTCAAAGGAACATAAAAATGCAAAGTTTGATCAACAGATCCAGCTTTCTAATTCAAAACAGTTTAGCTCATATTTTTGGCCAGAAACAGAAGAGTCTGTAAAACAGTTCAGCTGGGGAGATAGCTCAGTAGAATAAGCGCTTGCTTACTTGGCAAGTGCGAGGTCCTGAGTTCAGTCCCCGGTACCATAAAATAAAATAAAACATAACAATCCAGCCTGTCTCTCTTCTCATAATTAAGCAATTTATAATTTGTTTTTGGTTTTGGGTTTTTTCTTTTTTTTTTTGTTTTTGAAACAGGGTATCACTGTATCACTGTGTAGTTCAGGCTGACCTTAAACTCACTATGTAGCTCAGGCTGATCTCAAACCCTGGTGATCCTCCTGCCTCAGCCTCCTGAGGGTTGGGAGTATAGTACCACACGTAGTGAGCATTGGTATAATTTGATGCAGAAAAAAATGGATGATGGTATTCTGGCTTCGCAGCTGGGGTTATTTGCTGTTTGTACACATTTCCAGGCAACTAGAACATTAACCCTAATGCTTATTTTTTAATGTAATAATATACAAAAGCATAGTAGGTGCTCAAAGTACATATCCAAAGGTAACTATTCCACAGCATGTCCCCCTGGACTCGTCTTTTCTTCTGTGAGCCCCGACATTCTCCTGATCTTTTTGTGTGTATACAAAACAGACTAGTGTCATGCGCCTTAGCGTAGCGGTTCTTATTGTGGCTCTGTAGCTCCCCTTTCCATCCAGGTTCCTTTATTTCTGGCTTGTGCTGAGGCCTTGGAACTCCTTCAGTGGAACTGTGTGAAAATCTGCTGTCATGTACCTGAAGGATCTCATTTCTTTGCTCTTTTGCTTTCTTACCCTAAAAAACATACTGCATGGCAATATCTATCATTTTTAACAGCAGAAAACTTCTCTTTTTTATGTTGAAGCACCACATAAAATTCAGCTGATGAATTGAACAAGAATTTTTTTATAAAGCTTTAAATGTCTTGAAGTTATTTCTGTAACAGAAATTGGACAAGAATATTTCTCTAAAATAAAAAACAATTAATTGGACAAGACTATTTCATGAACTAGACAAAAATATTCTCTTAAAGCATTTAAATATGTTTTGATGTTGTTTCTTAGGAGAATAAGAAATTGGATTACTTTTCCTAGTGGTTATTTTATTCCTTAGCTTTTTCCATGTAGCTATAGAAGTTAATGTGTTTTTAAGTAGAGATTGCTGTTTGCAATTCATTTCCTCATTCTACTTCTATCCTTTTTTTAAAATAGCACAATATGTAATTATGTCAGATAAATTTAGAAAATTGAAGTTTTCAGACTCAGTCACAGCCATATAATTACAGGATTGGTATTGGAGGTAGAGTTAAACAACCTGTGTATTTGCAACACATAATTTGCTTAATTATTGTTAGTGTTTTTCAGACTGAACTACTCAACTTCAGCTGTTTTGTATTTTTTCCTGCTGATATAAGATAATGTCTTAGCACTATCCACTCTCATTAGCACTAATATAATATGATGCCCAACACACTGATCAGTTTGGTTTTCATTCTTCTGTATTAGCAATGAAATGCACACACAGATCATTGGAATATCACCCCCCACAAGCCCCATACTGGCAAATAAACTTGGGGCCTTTCCACTGATCTACATCCCTAGCTCTTTTTTATTTTTCTTTTGAGGCAGGGTCTCACAAATTTGTCCAGGCTAGACTTCAGCTTGAGCTGTTCCTTACCTTAGCTTCCAGAGTGCTGGAATTTACCGCTGTTTGCATCCACACCCCACTAAAATCACTTATAAAAAACCAAAAGTGGTTTAAAATTTGTCATTGTACCATGTTTTTCTTAAGTTGGTGGTCATTTCCAGATTTAACAGTTGTTTGGTTTGGGTTTGGGTTGGTTTGGTTTGTTTTGTTTCATCTTGTTTTATTTGATGGTGCTGGGGAATAAACCCAGGGCCTTGTGCATCTGAGGGGAGCGCTTTGCACTCAGCTGTATACTCAGCTGTGTCCTCAGCTGCAGTACATGTACTCAAGCTTCTTAGACTTACAGAAGCGTTTTGTTGTGAACTTTTAGTAGGCAGTTCAGGGAAGTGGATTTGTACAGTCTCCAAAAAGCATGTGTACCACTTGAACTTGTTACAGGTTCACAATGAAGACGATGAGCCACCTTTTGGTATTTTATTGTTTCTTACTTCCTTTGTCCTTTTGTTCCTCACCTGGCCTTAGTTTTCAACATTTTATTTAAAAAAAAAAAAATCATGTGATTTCTCTTTGTCCCTCACTTGGTTCTGCAGTTGAATGTGGACATGACAGTGGAAGAGTCTGTGTCTCATAATCTTACCTCCCCACTGGGCTCCTAAGGGAAAGGACTAAAACAGATGCTTACTCTGGGGGCTTTTATTCACTGCCCTGCCTTCCTTCCAACATTCATGCATAGCTTTTCTTGATTTCACCAGTCCCACTCAGTATTTCCATTTTGTCTTTGAATATTCATCATTATTCTGCGCTACGTGAAAATAATTTATGATTGTCGTATGTGCAGTTTCTGGCAGTTAAAACATTCTCCTCTTTTTACCAGTATCAGAGTTTTCCCTATGCCCTTGAAATCCACTGACTTATTTTGCTGATTTGATACTGAGGAGTGCCACTTGTCTCAGCCTTGCAGCATATTGTGATGTGTGGCAGCCAGGGAGGCATTCCTTTGTTTGCTTTGGGTGGTGTTTTTCTTCATTTGAGATGGTATCATTCCGTATTGGCGAGGATGGCCCTGGTGAGGTCTCCAGAGATCTTTCTGCCTCAGCCCATCCTCCCAAGTAGCTGGATTGTTGACACATGCCAGCTTTGCTTTCTTTTTTTGCAGATACTGTTGTTGACCAGTACTTCTCGACTGCAAAAAACCATTAAGAGACAAAAATGAAATATAGTGCATTAAATGACTTTTGAAAAACAAAAAGATTTCCATTAATTTTTTGCTTAGAGAGCTTATGTTGATTTTTATATTTTCTGTTACTCTTTTTAGTAGTCTTTAGGATCTTTGGAATGCTTTGCATTAAGGTTGCAAAAGTTTTTATAAAGAAAAGCTTTTGAATCTGCATCCCTGACATTACATGCTGTGCCTTGCTATCATTGTGTTGATTCAGCACTGTAGGAGCTTTCTGTTTTCCTTTGAAAATGATTTTATTATGGGGGAAAGGTTCCGAAATAAAGACTGTATATACCGTTTGAATTTATGTCCTTAGAGTTACTTCTTTTTTTAATGTGTTGTATAGGTGAAAGATATGATCCTGAGCCCAAATCAAAATGGGACGAGGAGTGGGATAAAAACAAGAGTGCTTTCCCATTCAGTGATAAATTAGGTGAACTGAGTGATAAAATTGGAAGCACAATTGATGACACCATCAGCAAGTTCCGGAGGAAAGATAGAGAAGACTCTCCAGAAAGATGCAGGTACTGACAGTATCTCCAGGGTCTCTTGAAAAAGGTGCTCAATTTATGCTGCTGGGTTTTTATTTGAGGTATTAGTATTTCTGAAGTCAGCTTTGTTAAAAAAAAAAAAAAAACAGACTTTTAATGGAGTCTTAGGTGCACCAAAAAGCTGTTCATAAAATGCAGAGGTTGCCATATACCCACTTCCCTCCCTGCAGTTTCTCCTGTTAATAACATCTTGCATTAGTTTGGTATTACGGTTAATTTAGAAAACCCATACTGATGTATGTATTGTGTTAGACCAGTAGTAAGTTTTCACAAATGTATGATGTTTGCTTATGTTACAGGGGTCTATAGAATAGTTTTTCTGCTGTGAACATGCCCTAGACAAAAATAGGAAGTAGCTCATGATTTTACTAGTCATTCTTGTAAATTAACATGATAGGCCATGTTAATTTTCCATACATAGTTCTAGTTTTGGTGCACATGTGCCACCAAAGCAAGCACAGTACAGAGGAGTTTTTATGTATTTGGTAAAGGGTCTCACTACACAGCTCAGACTTATAGTGCCCCTTCTGTTCTCAGCCTCCCCAGCGCTAGGATTATATGTGTGCGCCACCACTCCTGGTCTCGGTGGCCAGCTCAGCATGCTGGGGAACAGGAACAGCACGACATGTGGTGCCTGGGATCAAACCCCTGTCCCTGAGCTTACCTACGCAGGTGTTTACTCTGCTGAGCTATCTTGCCAGCCTGAGGAGTTTTTTAAGATCCTAGGAAAAACTGGTGTTGGTAGTGATCCTCCTTCTGTGTTGTCTGTGTCCACTTATTGCAACAATTGATCACATGACCTCTATGTTCTATTTCAGATGTATTAGTCTTCCCTTGGAATTTTTTCCCCCAGTAAAAACTCTTACATGTTACTTAAACTTGGACATCAAGTGATCCAGGGATTTAAAGATACTGTTGAATAAAACAAAGGATTTGAAATTTACCTCATTTGACCTTGTGTTTGTGTGTACATGTGAACGTGTGTGTGTGTGTGTGTGTGTGTGTGTGTGTGTGTGTGTGTTTGAAGATTAAGCGCAGAGTTTTTGCCATATCCATTCCAGCCCCTCTTTATTTTTGAGATGCGTCTAATTAAGTTGGCAAATTGTCCAGGCTGGGCATAAACTTGTGATCTGCCTGCCTCAGCCTCTGAGAATGCCAAAATCACAGATATACACAATCATGCAGGACTTCTTTTGACAGTTCATTGTAGTTCTCTGCCAGTGCACCCCAGAAAACCAATCCAAACGGCTTTTGAACCAAAATTTTTCTAGTATAGACCTGTTTTTGTGTACTTCATTTTCTAACGTTAGGTTTTTGAATTTAACATTGCATAGAATAATGCATGGGACTTTGTAGTATTCATTTTTTTTTTTCTTACCTAGCACTATAAGTGAAAGCTACTTTTTCTGCTAATTTAAAGGCCATTGTTTTGCAAGATGTTTGTTATTTCTGCCTTACAATGCAGTATTTCTATTAAATGAAGTAGAGCAAGGTCTTAACATTTATTTTTGAGATACTCATTCAAAGTATGTGGAACTGCCTAAAATAACACAGTAACTGCTCAGACTATACCTTAAATATGTTTTTATGATTAAATATTGTCTCTTTTTTCCTAGATTAGAAATATTTTGATAGTTACATATTGAGGCCATTAAATGAAGTACAAGCAAATACGTAATTTTGAAACAAATTCTTAAATATTTGTATAGTATATTTTAAATATATTTTCATATTTATTAAGTTCTCCTTTCTCATTATTTCAAAAATAAGATCTTTAATGGCCAGAGTATAATATGTTTACTGTATTAATTATGCAATTATGTTTCTAGCTCCTTTAAATATTGAAAGGATGTATATAATAATTATATATATAAAATTTGGGTAAACTGCTTACTTCAGATGTTCTGTGGTTACCCCCCCTTCTCATTAATGTTCTTGAGGCCTATATAGATGTTCGTGACTTGTTTTAGAAAGCACGAACATCTATATAGGCCTCAAGATGGCTATGAGCGCTGTTGGTATTTTCTGCAAGAGTAGGGTCATATTGGGTCATATAGGCAGGTTAGAGCAACCGTGTATATTCATATGTTACTTGTTTTTCTTTTGCCCTTCCACCTTCATTTTTTCTTGTCTTCCTTCTCTCCTACTCTTTATTTTTTCTGTTTTTCCCTTTTTTCTCCCTGTCTTGCCTTTAGGACAGGGTTTACAAGAATTCCTGAATCACTTATATAGAATATTCTTGTTTAAAATAGTGAAGGTACATCAAGTATGGTTTCTTATAGTAATCACAAGAACACAGTGACTTTTTCATGTTGAATGAGAGAACAGATTGAGAGAATAGATTTCTTAGTCAAAGAAGAAATTGTATGTGACTTCTGATAAGTTACCAATATTTCAGCCTTACTTCATTATTGGAGTCATTAATTCTTGAACCCTAATAACATAAGAAGGTTTTGTTTCATTGTGTGGTAGTCAGATTTATATTCTGAACTTTACAAAGAATTTTTGTTCTGAAATAATATTAGACATCAAAAAGATAAGGAATACCAACCTTACTTGCTGGATTGATGGTGGGAATCTTTAGGTCATTTGTTATTGAGAAATTATTAAGGGCTTTAACCACTTGCCAGAACTTATAGATTCCCAAAATGCTTGTGTATAAAAAATATATTTAGTCCCTTTGCTCTGTGTTAGAAGCCGTTCCTTTAATCCTTGACTTATACAAGTTCTGGATTGGTTTATATTTAAGTAGAAATTGCTTTATATTAGTCTCAGTTAAATTATATCAGTAATAGTCGTAGTTTATTTTTTTTTTAATCTGTTAGTTTTTTTTTTAAATATTTATTTATTTATTTTGTGTGTGTGTGGCCAGCTCAGCCCACCAGGGGGCAGGGCTGGCTGGCATGTGTTGCTGGGGGATTGAACCGCGGTCCATGTGCTTTGCTTAGCTTAGCTTGTTCTAAGTAGGTGCTTTAGACCACTGAGCCATCTCACCAGCCCATTAGTCGTAGTTTAAAGGAGAATTTTAAACATTTTGTTCCAGAATATTTATAAATTAAGCCTCCTACTCAAAAAAATTAGGTAATATAAATAATAGATGGAACGTACTTAAGGTTATCATTTTCTCTCTCTCTCTCTCTCTCTCTCTCTCTCTCTCTCTCTCTCTCTCTCTCCTCCCTCTCTCTCCCTCTCTCCCCTCCCTTCCACTATTCAAAAAAGAAGAAAAACTTGTGGGGGTTCTGACTAAAAGGAAACTGTTTCAGTATAGTTAAGTTTCTGTGAAACAATTTACATGGTACTATAAAGCTTTGACTTTTGATAGAAGCACAGTTGTAAAGTACAGTAGCTCATCTTTTTCTGTATTTACAGATAAGAATATAATCATTTAAATTCAAGTAGGACAATATTTTTAAAGAAATTTTAATGTTATATGTGCATTGTATATTTGAGTTGGAGATGTTACTATATTAGTATGACTGTAGCCATTTGCACACACATTTCCAAGAAATGTTCATTACATGCAGATACTTGAAATAACCAGTCTTGATTGAGTCTATAGTCTTAATTTTAATCTTTTATTTAATCTTTTTATTGTTTACAATCTACAATAAGCAAAACTGAATTATTTTAGACAGTTTTTCACTTGCACAGGTTTCTGTAGTGCTCTTTATAGCAGTATTTTAAACTTATCTCGGACATTCTACGTCCCGCCTCCATATCCACACCATTGTTCAGCTGGCTTAGCTGACACTGCTGGCTCCTGTCCAGCGGTCAGGTATGGATTCTTGGAGCTACCGCACTTGAAATTCTTTAACTCAAATCACTGAAGACTCCATTTTAAAATATCCCAAGTCTTACTGTTTTGCCTCATTTTTAATATCTTTTAGTGACAGCGATGAGGAAAAGAAAGCAAGAAGAGGCAGGTCTCCCAAAAGTGAATTCAAAGATGAAGAAGAAACTGTGACGACAAAGCACATCCATATCACACAGGCCACAGAGACCACCACAACTAGACACAAGCGCACAGCAAATCCTTCCAAAACCATTGATCTTGGAGCGGCAGCGCATTACACAGGGGACAAAGCAAGTCCAGATCAGAATGCTTCAATCCACACACCTCAGTCTTCAGTTAAGGTGGGAGTGGCAGGAGTTTACACCTTACACATGGTTTATTTTTAGAAACTACTTTTAGAGTTCCTGCATTAGCTTGAGCATTTGCTACCATATTAATTATAAATCATCTGGCATATATTTCTTAGTCTATAGTCGTAAGAAATCTGGAGGAAGAAGCCTGTCCAGTTGCTCAGTGATTTATCTATATACTGGTTGGGAAAATAGAAATGATACTCATGGCTCATTGGGGAAAGGCTGAGTGATACATTTTTTTTTCCATCTAGATAGTGCACAGCTATATTCACTAAAGAAAACCTGAAGGAACATTTGGAAGTTTTAAGAAATGATGTAGTTAGCTCTGGTGGTGCATGCCTGCAATCCCAGTACTCTGGCTGGCTGAGCCAGTGAGCTCAGGTCCAGCCTGGAGTGCATAGTTCAAGGCCAGCAGAGCTATAGAGTGAGGCACTGCTTAAAAAAATAAACAGGACAAGACAAGAGACAAAAGAAATTGACAGACAGGATAAATGACCGCATTTAGCATTGAGATAATGCCTGTGAAAGGAGGCTAATTTGCCCTGTGGTCATTACTGATTAGAACTAGAAGGCACTGCCTCTGGTACCTTCACTTTTTCTTCACCACAGAAGGGAAATCCACCTGTCAGACAGCTGACCACAAGCTAGTCTTTCAAACAGAAATCTGTCAAAGTTCAGGAAGTTTGCTCCACAAAGTTAAGTTGCTGTTTCTGTCATAATTTTGCCCACTACATTTACTCAGCATATATATCCTTACAACAAAGTAGCTAAAAGCTGAGGGAACCATTTTTGTAATTATCCAGCAAATTGTAGCTGACTCTGAACATAAAATTACGCCCACTTGCTTGCAAAGTCTTTGCCAAGTGTCTTCTGGATTGATGTATAATTTTCACACATGTTGTGGGGTAATTGTTTTGGTTTCGAGGTGTTTTTTATTTGTTTTGTGTAGTTATTTAGTACAGAGTCTCACCACGCAGCTCCGACTCATAGGGATCCTCCTGTCTTGACCACCCAAGCACTGGGATTACAGGTGTGTGCCACTATACCCAGTTTCATTGGCTGGCACGGGTCGCCTGGGGTTCTGAGGCAGGCATGGCATGTAGTCCTGGGGATCGAACCCAGGTCCTTGTGCTTTCCAGGCAGGCACTTAAGAGCGCTGAGCTATCTCCCCGCCACCCCCTCCCCCCATTTTCAGTTTTGCTGAAAACCTCAGAAGTATCCAATCCAACTTGAGTTGAAGTTAAAGAGAGGAAATAGCTCTTTTATTTATTTGTCATCTTAGGCTTCCTCTCTTGGTGTAGACAGTCTTAGCTTACTGATTGCTGTATAGGATCTGATAGTCATAAGAATTAAGAGCCAAACACATGGTGCCTATGATAGAGAAATTGTATTCACATATGGTTGTGTGAGTAAAATCAGTGAAACTAATTTTCTTACAATAATTTGAGAATCATATCCCAAAGAATTTTAAACATCGTATCTGGGAATTGCACTGTTTCCCTATTGCCTATCAATTCAATTCTAAATTAGCACATATGTATTGAACATAGAAGGCATAGATACCTGGGTGCTTAGCACTGTGGAGAAGCTAAAAATAAAGTCCAGATTTTATTGTTTAGTTTGGGAACTAAATATTAAAAAAAGTCAAGTTATTTATGCAACATAGAATTATATTAGCTCGTATAGTATATAAATAATGCTTTATAAAGTTCATGGAATTTTAGTGCTGAGAAGGAACTTGGCTTCTCACCCAGTGAGTATCACTCTTTATAAGGGAAACTTTGTATAATTTTAAAGAGCAAAGTCTCACCTTGGACAGTTATAACTTACTTTGTTGGGATTTTAGTGAGTTTGATGATGCAGCACTGAAAATGAAATGGAGTCTGGGAGGTGTATTTTCCAGATTGAAATGTAGTAATAAGGTATGAGTTAGAAACCAGAATATGAATGTTAGGGAATTGTACAGTGATAGGAGTAGATAGAATTACTTACTGCTTGTACCTCTCCATAAGGATTAAAACTTTTTTTCCCAGAAAACTAATTATCCTTATTTAGATGATTTTACAGGTATATGTGTCTAAGTTGGGACTTCCAGTTGGATAGAATTAATTTTAAAAAAGAATTAGTAGAAATTTATAAACACATGATTTTTTTTTTAGACTTCAGTGCCTAGCAGCAAGTCATCTGGTGACCTTGTTGATCTGTTTGATGCCACCAGCCCGTCAACAGCAGGTAATCATCCACATTGTCTTTTTTCTTTTTAAAAACCTTGGTTTTAATCATTTAAAAACATAGCATGTAAACGATGTAGTGATATATATATATATATATATATATATATATATGAAATTAGTCTTGAGCACTATGGGAAGAGAATTGTTCACTTGTCTAAAACAAGGGCCACCTGGTGCCTAAATATTAGATAATTTAACAATCTCTCAGTCCTCTTATTTCTTTAGCTCCTATAGCCTTTAGCATGCTTTAGAAACTACTATTTTGATATTTTTGTTCATTTTCTCATATATGCACTTAATTCTTAAGGTTTTTCCCTTAAAAGAAATATACCTGATTGTACATCTTTTTCTCATCTCAGACCTAGCAAAACCTCTTTGTGGTAGCTTACTATTAAATATTGATACTAGTATTCTGAAATCACTATGACATAACTTACATTTTAATAACTCCTTATACCTGATATAGTATTTAATTAGTAATTAATGGGTACTAGTTCAAGATATAGTAAATTTTCTGACATTTTACATGATCAAAGATTTTGGAAGTTTTGTAGTTCTCATTTTTAATCTTTTAAAATTAATTTGGAGGGGCTGGGGAGATGGCTCAGTAGAATAAGCGCTTCCCTGCTAAGCCCAAGGACCTGAGTTCAATCCCCGGTTCCGCCAAAAAAAAAAAAAAAAAAGACATAAAATTAATTTGGAAAAATAAAATTTACATTAAGACTGCCCCCTTTGATTTCTTTGTCTGAAAGATTTACTGTTGTGCTTGCTTTACTGACCTTCCCTAAATCTCCTTTCCATCCTCTGGTATTGGAGGTAAAGCCCAGGGCCTTCATACTTAGTGACATTCCCAACCCATTTTTTTATATTCAAACAGAATCTTGCCACGTTGGGCAGGCTGGGCTCAAACTTGTGGTCCTCCTGTCTCCCAGAGAGCTAGGTCTACAGGCCTGCACCACCTGGCCTAGCTCCCTACATCTTAACTATTGCTGTCCACATGGATATTCCTAGAGTTTGCTTGCCTTTTAGTTCAGTTATCCAACAAATATTTTTTGAACCAGATACCAGTCTGAGTGCTTGTAAGATTCAAGAAATGCAACTCATGTTTAAAGACAGTTTTTCCAAACTTGTTTAAATGTCATTTTACATTCAAATGTACACCAGCAAATTGGAGTTTAAGTTTTTCCTTATAATTTTGTACTAGGATTGAACTTACAGAACTCGTTATTTAACCTAGTTTCCAAGATCCTATAGTTCCTTTCCCCTTTTTTATCTGACTGTAACTGTTCCTAACATTTTTCTTTAATCTTTATTGGATTATAATACCCAAGGTTACAAACAACTACATTAGTTGTTTAACAATTTATGTGCTGTCTTTTTGAAAGCTTAAGGTTTGATCTGTGGTAATAACTAGTAGTTAGCATGTGGTCATATAATACAGACATAGTGTCACACGGTATCAATTATTTTGGACTTCCTACCATGAAATATTAATGAGTCTCTTTCATGCTTCTGTGGAAAATTTTAATGGAGCAGTCACTGAAGAATTAACTAAGAAAGTCAGGAGTGGATGTAACTTTTTTCTTCCATGATACCAAGATTGCTTTGAACAGAGAGAATTATTAAATACTAACATGCTTCCTTTTGCTTGGCAAGAAACCTTTTTGAGTGGTTTTTCTTTTCTAGTGCAAATAGTAACATTGACTAATTAAATAGAAACAGCAGTTAAAATTCAGTAATTGAAAACAAAGTTTGACTAAAATCTGAAAGGTTTCTTGCCTTATACTCTTATCATTTTCCAAAAACAACTGAAAAAGGCCTGACATCACAATTATCTTACAAAGTTGTCTTCTATTTCAGTATATTTAACCAGTTACTACAGATCTCCTCCAGTCAGTACATAAATTTAGTTACCCATCTCTCTTTAAATATTTTAGTGATATATTTTAAATTGAATCCTGCAGTGAAAAGAAATTACACATTAAATCCTTAGCACCTACATGAGGTGTAAGAATCTACCATTTTAACATTGCTGCATGATGTCATTTGGGTGTCATTTACCAGATGTGCCCAGATTTGTAGTAGTGCCGTCATGCACGTAGTATGGGCATAACTGTAAAACTAAGCGGCTGTGGCATCTGTACCACTTATCAGATAAATATCTCCTTTGAGAAAAGGCTTTAAATTTTTAAGAATGTGTTAATGAATTCTTATTGTTACCATCTTCAGAAGTAGTATATCCTTATAGACTGTCTCACCAAGTTTAAAATTGTACAGGTGAAACCTTGTACTTGTAGCCATCAGGATTTACTTGAGATTGTCTTGGTAAATGTTCCATTTTGGTGATGTTCTTTTAAACTCTTCACGGAAATGATGTTTTGGTTGTTTTTTTACATATAGCACATTTCTTAAGCATTTTAGAAATGCATAATTTAAGGTATTTAGAGCACAATTCAATTAGAAATAGAATGCCAAAGCCATTCCTTCTTTTTTAAAGTATAAATCCAATTGTCTTCTTTTTCCTTTTATAGTTAAACAGGCTAGGTCTTGATTAACATACTGTTATGTATTTCTAGTACAATAAATGAGATTGAAGGGGAGGGAGTACATTGTAGTCAGTACAATAGTATTCTAAGTTTTAAGAGAAATTTTAGAGGACTACCATAATTTTCGTTACATTTGAACTTGTTACTTTATACTCGCTAATTTTATTTATTTATTTATTTACTTATTTATTTATTTATTTAGTGGGGGGGGTACCTGGCATCAAACTCAGGATCTTGAGCTTGCAAGGCAGGTGCTTATGCCACTGAGCTGTCTCCCTGGCTTTACTAATTACTTTTATATGATTTATAACTCAGTGTATTCCATTGTTGGTAGAATAAATTGTATTACAATTTAGGTGAAGGTTGTCTTCTAGTTTTAAGCCAAGATTACTGAAGAAATTAGTTTGTTTAGTATCTTCTTTTCATCAGTTATTTTAAAAGTATTGCAAACTTTAGAAATGTGAAAAAAAGTGTGTAACCTAAATTTAGTTACATAAAGTGAACCATGAATGACTTGGGAAATTCTTTTAAAAATATTTTCTGTGTATTCTTTAATATTTAATAATTTATTGCATGTGAAATCTTTCAGGCTTCTAGAAAAAGGATTGGGGTGCCTGTGTGTGTGTGTGTGTGTATGTGTGTGTGTGTGTGTTCTTTATAAATTGCTTTTTACCCAAGATCTCCTTGATCATTTCCTTATAGTCGTTCATTTCACTGAACTTTTTGTTGCTTTGTAATTTTACATTGTATGCTTGTATTACAATTTAACTAATCTCTTTACTTTCCAGTTACTAAGGTAGTCCTCACACCCCATTTTTTCTCCATTATAAGTAAATTAGCACAGTAATATCTTTCAAAATCTTTCAGCTTGGTAAGAAGAATAATTTAGGGTTATAGATTATAAATAATTTTTAGTCATCATTTATGGTTTTTTTGTATTCTGTCATTTCCATTTGTAGAACTTTTCATGGATAGGCTTACTTAATGTAGTCCATCCAAAATAATTTGTTAAGGAAAATTTCCATTTGTAGTTTAAGCACTGTCTGGTCATAGTCATATTTTTCTTGTTCACGGTATTGCTTTGGAAAATACATGTTCCCAGCTGGTGATTGTAAATAACCTCCTTGCTACCCTGAAAAGGCAGATGGAAATGGTTCATTTATAATGACAGCTCTTGTGTGGGAATCATGAAAGATAGCCCTTGTGAAAATTAGCAGTCTTCCACATGCAGCAATTTTTGGTAGACTCTTACTTGTATTTCCTTAGATAGAAGTTATTTTGGAGATGTGCTTAAGCACAGATTTTTGTTCAGCTTTAAGCTTTAGTATGCATCATGTATATAGGTATGAATTGTCCCTCAGAGGACAGGAAAGCTTTTTCTAAATGAAATGATTTTTTTTAATTTTTCAAACAGTAAGCCAAACCAGCTTCTCTTTGTTAAAATAGCTGTGTATGTTTCTGTACTCGTGGTATTCTTAAGTTAGTCATGTTAAAGTCAAATTCTAGTATATGTGATGTGAGGAATAATATTGCTCTAGATAAGTTGTGGAAAATCCTATAATTTAGTGTAGATAGCAGAAGGTGGAGCAGCGGAATAATTAAAGTGTTTGTGTTTATGTGAAATACTAAATTCAAGGAAATAAAAATAAAATTCACCCATTTTTAAGTTATGATCTGTGGTAGTTAGTGCTTTTATCTGCAACATGAATTTTCTTTGTAGCTTAGACAAATCAAGATTAGAAAATCCCTACTTGTCATAATAAATTACTTACTGAAGTTTAGTAGACAAGTCAAGATTAGAAAATCCCTACTTGTCATAATAAATTACTTACTGAAGTTTAGTCACTGTCTGAATGGAACAAATTAAAATAATTTCATCTCCAATTTTCAAGTCCCTTGATGTTGTAGTAATTGATTAACTATCATTCTGCTACCCAACAATACACTTGGATCAATATTTTTAATGTGAAAGGACATCACAAAAAACAAACTTAGAGTATTAGACAGCAACTGTTTGCAACACTCATTTTCCTGCTAGTTTTATTAATGTACATTCTCATTTATAGAGTTTAAACCTCTCGTTCACTGGTCTTTTATCCTCCTCATCACATTTTATTATATGTATACCTTTAAGGAAGAGAGAAGTCACTTTGATATTACCACTTGAATGAATTGAAAAGACATATGAGCTATAAATGTTGATAAGAATAGAAACCTATGTTGGTACTAGTTCGCTGATGAGTGAGGATATATACATGAGCATGCATTGTAATATTGAAGGAATGAGGAATGAGTTATGCCTGCTGATAATTGACTACAGTAAATGTGCCTTAAAAAGAAATACCAAATACATGTGTATCAGAATCTGATTTGTTCCTTTTATGACTCCTGGCCATTTATTAAGACAGAGAGATGGTTCGAGTTTAATTAACCCAGTTGAGTATAGCAGATGGGGCAGAATGTCTTGCAGCGATAAGACAATTCAGAAATGGCACCAGATGTTGGAAGCTGTCCCTGGTGGTGTTTGAGTGCAGCCCAGATGTTCCAGTCCCACCTGGCTAGTTTCTAAGCACTGCAGGCTAAGCAGTTGTGATGTAACCTATATAATGCTCACATAACACTAAAAGTACCATAATTGAGCTGCTGCTCCAGGCTTCTAAGGTTGTGACTCTTCAGAGATGATATCTTTGAGGACAAAAATAAAGGCAACTGCTTAAAGTTTTAGATCTTTCACTATTTCATTGATAATTAAAATAGAATGTTAAAACTTGAAATAATACACTGTTTTCTAAAAAATATTGAAATACTAGTCAAATTGTAGATAAAAGTATGTATCTGTACCTATGCATTGTTTACAAATAAGAATTTCATGAGAATAAGATATTATGTGTACAGATTGATTCGCAGATATAAGGATTTTTTTCTTTCAATTTTTATTTTAAAAAAATTTAGCATCTAAAAAAATTTATGTTATTTTTTTTTTTTCCCCTCTACCTCATGTTTTTTTGTTTGTGTTTTGGCCAGCTTAGCCTGCTGTGAGGGCGGCTGGTGTAGCATGTGGTGCCTGGAATCGAACCGTCTCTGCACCTACCTAAGTTTGCTTAAGCAGGCACTTTAGACCACTGCGCTATCTAGCTGGCCCTGCTTGTTTTTTCTTTATACTATAATATTTGTTCTGTATAATTTGAAAGAAAGTTGCAAGCACCATAATGTGCCCCTAAAATATTTCAACTTATATTTCCTTACAGGAACATTCTCCTTTGTAATCATAATGAGATTGGAAAATAACATAAAAATGTTATTTTAAGTGTATCATATCATATTCATATTTCTCAATTTAGTCTTTTCTGTATTTTGCCTTTTTTTAAACCAAAGATCTAGTCAAGGATTGTGCATTTACTTTTGTGAATGTCTTATTCCATAAGCAATGTTTACACAGGTATAAGTACCTATGGAAGATTCTTGTGCAGACTATAATTGATTAGTAAATCACATGTCTACACTGTGCTTTTCAGGCATTAGGGATGACTTTTAACTATGTGTGTAGTATCATCTTCCTGCATCTAAGACTGGGGAGTGTGGTGTAGTCTGAAAATGTACGAGGAACCTTAACTGCAGACCTAGGTCAGATAGCTTCTGCAAGGGGTCTGGGACCCCTGCTATGTATATTTTCATGCGGTGCCAAGAAGTCTTCCTGAGATTGAGTTCTTACAGCTTACCTTTTCCCTCTCTTACCTTCTAGGAGGATCAGCTGATTTATTTGGGGGATTTGCTGACTTCGGCTCAGCTGCTGCATCAGGCAGTTTCCCTTCCCAAGGTATGAGGTGGTCTGATTGGCCAGATTTACAGAGGCGGTGAAAGGTTATGAAGTGTGTAACTCCCTCTCCCCAAAATTAACTTACATTTTTATCCTTGTGGTAGTCATAATTCTTAAAAAGTTTATCCTCGATATTTTGGGGACCAAAGTTTTAAATGTGCCAAAGAAATTACACACACTACTGAGCTGATGCTAAAGAAAACTGTCCATATTCATATATGACTCTGGTTTAGCTGTGTAGGGGGGATATGTGAATAATAAGTAATCTCACTTTTATAACAAAAATGGCCATGGTTTATGTTTAGTTTATATGATTTTTCAGGAATGAAACTTACTAATTTTGTACAACTAGCAATAGTGCTACTTGTTACAGTTCTTTAAAAGGTTAAAGCAGTATCTACAGAAATATGTCGAATAGAGACTAAGTTCATTGCTGCAGGTTGTGAAGAGATTATGATGTATACTTTATAAAATCTGGACAGTTCAGAGTTAGAGAATATTTAAAAATTTAGCTGTAATAATCATAAATATGAAGTGAGGCAAAGAGGAAAAATGTAACTCAAGTAGTATTATTGCAAGTATAGTAATTATTGCTATTAAAGCAGACTAAAATTTATATTTAGTATTTTCTGATTTAGGTTCAGCAGGATTATGAATAAAAATATGTATCTTTTAATGTGGTTAGAGATTATTCTTGTAGCGTACTTTAATAAATTCTAAATATTTCCCAGAAATAAACATTTTTGAGTAATTAACTGCTCCATTTTGAATGTGTGATTACACCTTTGAAGAGTTGACACCTTACTTTAGGCAAATCAAAGTGGAAGATAAACTTAGCCCTAATTTTACAGACTCCCTGTGTAATTCTCAAAGTTGTATGTAAAGTTGCCTGGTATGCAGATAATTTGAATATGTTAATAGTGCCTAAGCGGTGCATCTCTTCACCTGCATGCATATGATTAATATAACCTGATCACCATTGCACAGGGGGCTGAAAGTTCTACAACAATGATTAATCATTTGAAAGCAGTAGATGCCCCATTAGAAATCTCTTCCTCCATGATTAATCATTTCAAAAGCTGAGTTTTCAGGTGGGGCAGTAAGGTTTACCCTAGTTTCCCTTCACAGTCTGCTTTATAGATCAGGCAAATAAAAAACTCAGCATAATGTTTACATTTACCCAGTAGCCTTACTTAAATGAGTTCACAGTGTTTAACGTATAGAACTAATTTTGAAACTCTTAATGTAATCTGTTTTGTAAAGAAGATCAAAGACATGTTTTTGTAAAACCTCAAGGTAATGAGTATTAGCACTTTTGGGGGAGGGAGGTATCAGGAATTGAACTCATGACCTTGTGCTTGCCAGGCAGGCACTGAACCACTCAGGTACAGCAATGGCTTCAGCATGTTTCTTATATTTAGTTGTTGGCAGAATGTGGGACTTCTAGGTACTCTTTTTCTCTAGTAAGGATGCTTACATTTTAATATGGTAATAGAAAAATGTAATTTTAAAGACTTCATATTGTTGTTCTCTCCTGAAATTTAACCTAATGAGACACAATACTGCAGTGGTTAGTTACCTTTTAGGCTAGACAAAATATAATCCCAAGTTGTAAATGAGCAGGGAGTGCAAAGATAAGGTGTTAATTAACTTGAATATACATACCTTTCTCTTACAACAATTTGTGATGTAGTTTTCTTCACCTTGGACTTTTGCTTTTTCAACTTCCACTTACTCATATTTATCCATTTGCCTTTTTCTTAAAGAAAGGCATATTTACTTAGATTTACATACAACCTGCTTTAAAAACGTTTCATTGCTGTGTCTTAACTAATCCCTGTATTCCGGATAGTTAATATTGTGCATGCAGCCTTTGTTGAGCTGACGTACATTTCTGTGTGGTGTGCCAAAGGGAAGAGAGTGCATTGCCTCGGGCTCAGCTGGCCTGCCCCGTGTAAGCCAAAGTAATGACAGCCAATCTTAAATTACACTTAGTGTATACTCAATTATTTAATCTTCACAATATAAATTTTAGAAGTGAGGTATAGGGAGGTTAAGTTATTCACTCAGTGTCACATAGCTACTAAGGCATAAATCTATGCTCTTAATAACAGTGTTTCCAGTTTTTATACCGAATATTCAGGCTCAAACTTATAATTACAAGTATAATGGTGAGGCTTTGTAGTTTCTCTTTGTTGTTGTTGATGTTTCATTGTTGTTTATGTATTCGGTGCACAGCTCAGATGCATAGTGATCCTGTTTTCAGCCTCCCCAGCACTAGGCTTACGTGTAGTACCACACCCGGCCTTGGTGTTTTGGTTTTTTAAATCCAGCTTTTTTTTTAAAGAATAAATAAATAAATAAATAAAGTTTTAAAACAAGTTCCTTTCTCTTGGTTCATTGAGAAGAAAGGTTTGTACTAATGTTTAGACAAGATATCATGTCTGCATCTTCTAAATATGAAGACAACAATATGCAGTATATTATTATAACTGTCTTATCGGTTTTGAAACTGGTTTATTGCTATTTTATCTTTTTTCTCATTAAAATGATTAAAAAACTTATAAAAACAAGTTAGTAGGGAAGTTATAATTAATACATTGTGTATTGTCTTCGTAGCAGTTATTCAGAGTACAGGATATAGGAATGATACCTTGTCCAAATAATACTAGCACAAACCTTTCTTTTCAATTTTATTTTTAATGTTAGCATGAATTTCTTTTTCCTCTTTATTTAAATGAATTGGGAGATGGTTCAGTGGAACAAGCGCTTCCCTGGCAAGTACAAGGGTCTGAGTTCAATCCCTGGTTCCACAAAAAATAAATAAAAATAAAAAATAAATGAATTGAACATTCTCGGTAAAGCAGACCATGTGTGCTGATTGTGTCTGTGGCTGTTTCTGCTGTCGGGTGGGGGGCACATAGCCAAGTAAGTGAGAACTTCTTAATTTTATTAATCCACCCCTTAATTTTATTAGGTTTTTTCCTCCATGCTTTTATTTTCTTGTTAATAAATTTGGGATCAGAAAAATTACATGAGTGTAAATTATAGTGCGATTTCTATGTAAACCTTTCTACACAATGAGTGAAGTCAGAAAGTTGAACTCTGATTTTACTGATTATCTCATGAGTGAGGATTCTGGCCTCCCCCAGAAGTGTAACCAGCTTAGAATTTCCTCCTTGCTTTTTTGAGTCCCAGGCTATGTCCTATTTTTTTTAGCTAAAAGGCTATTTGGTATGCAAACTTGGTTGAAAGGAAATTTTTATGGTAGCTTCTGTATGTCACCTACAGACGAGCCAAGAGATTCAGAAATCCCCTTTGCCACCTTGTTAACACTTAGTGTAATATTCATGAGAAAGTGTAATGTCCAGATGGAGATGGTACCTGCAGATGTTAATCTGGATGGACTCTGATCAGCTCTAATTAGTTTCAGTTCATAAGTTGTTCTACTCTGTGCATCTCAGAAAGTTGCTTACCTTTATAGTTATTTCTGTCTGAACAGCAACAAGTGGGAATGGAGACTTTGGTGACTGGAGTGCCTTCAACCAAGCCCCATGCGCCTCCGCAGTTTCCAGTGGTGAGCTCTTTGGCAGTGCCTCCCAGCCATCAGTAGAACTTGTCAGCAGCTCGCAGCCAGCATTAGGGCCACCTCCAGCTGCCTCGGGTTCTTCAGACCTGTTTGATCTCATGGGCTCAGCCCAAGCAACCATGACATCTTCCCAGAGTATGAATTTCTCTTTGATGAGCACTAACACTGTAGGACTTGGTTTGCCCATGTCAAGGTCACAGGTAAGTTGTCAGTTTCCCTAGGAAATTGTGATGTATAATTTTGAGATACTTACTTTAAATGATAGATTAATGTAAGAAATATAAGCAAGCCCTTGCAGGGGTGGGTGGGTGGGTGTGTGTGTGCATTCACTTTTTGCTTAAGGATCAGCATAGTCTGAGAAATGTGTTATCAGTGATTTCTTTCAGTGCTAACATGATGATGTACTTACATGAACTTAAGGTGGCTCCAGTGGCGCGGGTGCCACAAATTGCTACATGGTCTGTTGTTGATGGTGACATTTTAGGTTGCAATAACTCCATGTCAGTTTTACATGTTGCATTTACCTCACTCTTTCCTCAGTGTAGTCAGGGTGCTAGAGGGCAAAGCCTTCCTACTCATCTTGTAGCTCACATAAGGACATGTTGAGTATGGACGTGCTGAGTCAGAACAGATGGTATTTCATGGTGTCTTAAAATTGTTCTTAATTAAAAATAGAGAGTCAGGGATAAAGCTCAGCAGTACAGCACTTATCAGGCAGGTGCAGGGTCCTGAGTTCAATTTCTGGCGGAAGGAGGGAAGGGGGAAAGAGGGGGAAGAGGAAGGGAGGAAGAAAGGAAAGAAGGAAGGAAAAAAATACGATAGTTTGGTTTGCAAACTTGATTTATTTTGCAATTTTGGGGAAGATGGCTGCATTTGTATTTGTGTGGGGAAGATGGCTGTGGTAATGTTTGTCACCTGTGGTGGAGTTTGCAAGTGGAAGCAAAATTGTACTGAACATTTTTGTTTGTGAACTCAATTGTTTGCAGACTGAAGTGTCTGTGAAGCAAGGTATTGCTATTTTTCATTGATAGCAAGCATTCATTCACTAGAATTTCTGTTCATGTCCTTAAAAAAAATTCATTCATGGCAGGCACAGTGGTAGACACCTGTAATCCCAGCACTTAGGGAAGCTGAAACAGGAAGATTAAAAGTGAGCCACCTGAGCAACTTAGAAAGACCCCTATCTTAAAAAAATAAAATAAAAAATCGGTCTTTAGTTATAAATAATCACAAATAATATAGAAGAATCATTCCCTCAAGTGGTGAAATTTTTTTTCCTATTTTGGGCCTAGTGTGCATTATATAAACTTCATATAGGCTGTTTGTTCACACAAATTCAGGGTGAGAAAATAGGTGAGTTGTGCCAGGAACTTGGCCATGTTGACTAAAGCTATTGAAAATATTTATGGCACTAGGTACTGATGTTCACATGTAGATTTCCTTGGATGTGAGAAGGAAGCAGCAGAAAGATGACTCTTTGTATAATGGAAATTAGACCTAAATTTTGATTTGATTGTATCTGTGTTGTATTTCTCTGCATAATATGTTTTAACGTTTTCTTCTTGTGCTATTCCCTTCTTCTGTGTTTTTTATAAGTCAGATTTAATACCTACCACGCACCTCTGCTTTTTCCTCCTAAAGTTCTGTTTTCTCCTAAACTAACCCATATTGGAAGTTAACACTAGTATACCTCACTTCAGGCAGAAGTGTGCATAAATCAGAGAGTTATCAGTCAGATATGGAATAGAATAGAATAGAATTTGTTGTTGATGGTTCATCCTGCATTCCCTTTTGTCAGAATAAGGTGGGTGTGGTGGTACACACCAGTATCTCAGTGCTTTGGGAGGTGGAGGCAAGGAGGGCCACAAGTTTGTGTTAGCTTGGGCAGCTTGGCAATGTAGCAAGACACTATCTCAAAATAAAAGGAGGCAGGGGATGTAGTTCAGTGGAAGACTCTGGGATCAGTCCCCAGCACCACAGTAAATAAGCAAACAAATTTCTACTTGTAAACTTCCTTAAAACTCTGCTAATCTGCTTTTGGTAGTTACCCTGAGCATTTGATGTGGAGAACATCTTCTAGGCATTGGGTTACAAAAGAGTAACTATGCAAGATGTGTATTTGGGTTTTTCAACTCCAGGCTTGTTGGGACGTCAGGATGACCTGAAGTTTGTGATTCAGGGTTTTGAAAACATTATAGCTTTTGGGGCTCTTTTAGATTTCAGAAGCTTATTGTGATTAAATTGTCCTATGATAATCTTTATAGGACAGATGCTTAATTTTTAGAGCATTTCTTTATTTTACAGCCTTTGCAAAATGTTAGCACAGTGCTGCAGAAGCCTAATCCTCTCTATAATCAGAATACAGATATGGTCCAGAAATCAGTCAGCAAAACCCTGCCTTCTACTTGGTCTGACCCCAGCGTAAACATCAGCCTAGACAACTTGCTACCTGGTATGCAGCCATCCAAACCCCAGCAGCCATCGCTCAATACCATGATTCAGCAGCAAAGTACGTTGCCTCAACACGTGCAGTTTTGTGTGCTTGCAGCCTTTTGCATGGGTCAGGACTACTTCAAGCTTTGAAATAAAAATGCCTAACAAAAGCTATGGTGAAATATAGTTGGGTATAAACTTACTTCAGTTCTTTTTGGGTATGATTGCCTGATAGCCCTTATTTCTCATGGCACACTGACTGACTGTACTCTGGGCTTGGCATGATAACACTCATTATATCATGGCCAGCTTTGCTGGCCTGATCACTTAAATCAAAATATTTGCTATATTATCATTTTGTAAATAATGTTATTGAAAGAAAGATCATTTAAATTCTACAGTCTAGAGATAATCACTACTTTTTCCTTTTTTTTTTTTTTTTTATGTGTTTGATACAGGGCCTCACTATGCAGCTCGAACTCTTAGTGATCCTCCTGTTCTCAGCCTCCCCAGGGCTGCTACTACAGGTGGAGAAGACTCCACCATGCCCGGGCTTGGTGGCCGGCTCAGCGTGCCAGGAGCAGGGCTGGCGCAGCATTGGTGCCAGGGATGGATATTGATCCCTGCGCTTGCCTGAGCAGTTTGGTTTTTTAAATAACAAACATGTTTTTTTTATTTTTCCCATAAATTTAAAAACATGAATATTCTGTAATTTAGCCAGTCTTTATCTCCAGGTAACTTTTTTACTGGGCTTCAGTTCCTTTTTACATAACATCCAAAGACAAGTCCCATAGGGACAAATACGTGTATCCAGTGGTCATGCATAACCTGAACTATTCGCCATGATTGCTGTGGCCCAAGGGCCAACAATGTCCCCATGACCAAGGACAGCTGCAAGCTCAGCCACCAGCACTGGCTCCATCTTTTTAAAGCACATTTTTATCTGTGGGATCATTCTGTCTATATTGTTTAATTTTCTCATTGAACATTAAATTACAATTTTTTCTTATGTTGAATATTCTTAGAAGAAAGTGATTTTTATAGTTATCCATTATATAAGCATTTCAGTTCTTTTGGATATTTAAATTATTTTCAAAATTATGGGAAAAAAATGAATAAATTATTTTCAGCTTTATCTTACTATAGGTAGTTCCATAATGCATAAATCCTTGTATTTGAGTTTTCCTTAGTATAATGTTCTAGAGATAGTCAAAGGATATAAAATTTTTAAGGATTTTGATAGATACTAGCTCATGAAAATATGTTAGATAAGGTTCAGCAAAGATTTTGTAGCAGTACTTCGGGGTCATGTGTTTCCCACTCTTAGAGTTTTTCACATCTCTGAAACCAGCATCAGTAGCAACCCAGTAGCACTGAAGAGCACACAGTGTAACTGGGCATGGTGGTTCATGCCTGTGATCCCAGCAGGAGAGTTGTGAATTCAAGACCAATTTGAGCTACGAAGCGAGTCTCAGGACACCCTGGGCTGCAGAGTAAGACCCTGTCTCAAAAACCAAAATAAAAACTGGAGTTTGTGCAGATTAATTGATTTTCCTTATAAAATCTCTGTCAAGGAATTTACTAGACTAGAAATATTGATATTAGGAGAGCTGTACTATTTGTCTGTTCTTTTTTCAGAATTCAGTTTGGTAAGTTTCTTTTGTCTCTTCTCTTCTGATAGATATGCAACAGCCTCTGAATGTGATGACTCAAAGTTTTGGAGCCGTGAACCTCAGTTCTCCATCAAATATGCTTCCTGTCCGGCCACACACTAACCCTTTGCTGGGGGGACCCGTGCCTATGAGTATGCCCAGTGTGATGACTGGCACCGTGGGAATGGCCCCTCTGGGGAACGCTCCACTGATGAACCAGAGCATGATGGGCATGAACATGGGCATGGGGATGTCAGCTGCTGGGATGGGCTTGACAGGCGCAGTGGGCATGGGTGTGCCCACCATGGCCATGACTTCCGGAACTGTGCAACCCAAGCAAGATGCCTTCGCAAATTTCGCCAACTTTAGCAAATAGGAGACTGAAAAGAAACAGATTGAATGAAGAATTTTTAGCTGAGCAGATAGGTGATATTGGGATGGAAAATGCTAATCAGCTCCCCTTTCTTT